CCAAGTAGCTGGGACCACAGGCGCCTGCCACAACACCTGGCTATTTTTTTTCAGTTGCAGCCATCATTCTTGTTTGGCAGGCCAGGCTGGATTCGAACCTGCCACCTTAGGTGTATGTAGCTGGCGCCTTAGCCACTTAAGCCACAGGTGCCGAGCCTGGAATAAAACTTTCATAGGAAGCTATTTTTGACATCACCTATTCCAGATTTTTTCCAACTATGGGGTAGTTTATTTCCCTAAATACATGGGCCATCATTACAAGAAGTCAAAGGTACACACACTCACACACAAGAAAATAAAATCACAAAAATTTAAAATCCACAAGGGTGGAAACAAATGAAGCCCTCCCAGCAACACTGATGAGGCCAGCAATGTGAAACTTCAACAGATGAATCAGAAAGCATACTGTCAACTGTGTTTCTTGGAAGTGAATGGGTCATAATCGGTCTCAAAACTTTCATAGTGACCCATATATGGGGGAATAATTTAAAAAACCAATTAAACATTTAATATATATTCTTACTGAATTCCCATAGCCATCTTTTTCTCTTCCAGACAGAGTCTCACTTTGTCGCCCTCGGTACAGTGCCATGGCATCACAGCTCACAGAAACCTCCAGCTCTTGGGCTTAGGCAATTCTCTTGCCTCAGCCTCCCACGTAGCTGGGACTACAGGCACCCACCACAATACCCGGCTATTTTTTTGTTGCAGTTTGGCTGAGGCCAGGTTTGAACCCCCTCAGTATATGAGGCCAGAGCCTTACTCACTGAGCTATAGGCGCCGCCCTCCCATAGCCATCTTAAGAGACAGGAATTATTATCTTCATTTTAGAGATGTAAAATGATTCTTGTAGGAGGCGGCGCCTGTGGCTCAGTGAGCAGGGCAACAGCCCCGTATACTGAGGGTGGCAGGTTTGAACCTGGCCCCAGCCAAACTGCAACAAAAAATAGGAGGGAGTTGTGTGGGGCATCTGTAGTTCCAGCTACTTAGGAGGCTGAGGCAAAAGAGTCACCTAAGCCCAAGAGGTGGAGGTTGCTGTGAGCTGTGACGCCACTGCACTCTCCCGAGGGCAACAAAGTGAAACTCTGTCTCTAAAAAAAAATATTCTAAGAGGTTAAATAACGTAAAATCTTCTATGTGGCAGGGCCAGAATTTGTCCAACTCCAGATTTTTTCCCATTTTTATACTTTTCCCTCTACAATATGACACTGGCTACAGGATTCCCCTCACCCACAATAATCCCTTTACCTATAAGTGTGACAAAACTCTTTCCAATCTTACCAATTGCTGATATGTCTTTTTCTATTTCTTCCCCATTTCCAGTACAAGGTCATGTGTTGAAACTATCATTAATTCATTAGGGCAAGAAAACATGCTATTTACTAAACAAAATCCTAAGAAGATAACCTGAAGTTCAATGCCAAGAACAACTTTAACTTCCACAGGTATACTCAAGCAGGACTGAAATCTTCTTAATTCTGCTTAAGTCCTTACATCCCTATATTTTCTATTAAACTAGTATATCTAAGTAGGGAAAAACTGTATTTCCAGATTTTAAACTGACCCATAATTAAAGTATCACTAGAATAAAGATGGTTCACCTTTTTAAACATGTAATACACAACATGGGATGTTAAGAAAAGGAAGTCCTAAGTGTAACTTACTCCTCTCCCTACCTCTACTCAATTAGGAAGAAAAGAATCTCAGTAGCTGTCTAAATACACACAAGTTGTTAACAGATCTGGGATTAAACCTTACAACATACTATTCTTTCTATTAGAAAAGGGAAGTACAATCTGATGGCAAAGCTCACAGCAACCTCAAACTCTTGGGCTTAAGCGATTCTCTTGCCTCAGCCTCCCATATAGTTGGGACTACAGGCGCCTGCCACAACACCCAACTATTTTTTTTTGTTGTTGCAGTTGTTTAGTAGGCCAGGGCCGGGTTTGAACCTGCCACCCTTAGTGTATGTGGCTGGCACCACAACCACTGTGCTACAGGCGCTGAGCCATAGAGCTTCTTATTTTAAAGTCTAGGTATAACAGAACCTGTTTTTAAAAAACAAACATGCTTAAGTTATTATTTTTTAATAGTAATTTTCCTTAACTATAGATTTTCAGAACCAGTCTGTGAGATTTTCTGAAAATTTTTAGTATATAAAAACATACTATATAGTACTATCAAATCAAAATGTCTTCTTTCATTAGCTACTTTCTTCTCATCTAATCTCCATTTACAAATTAGACACAGAAAGTTAGTAATTAAAGAAAACTTACGGATCACCAGCCCCTGATAAATCTGTTCCATTTTCTTCATAATCTGGAAAAAAGTCCTCTCTTTCAAGTAACTCTTGATATTTCTCTTGGTAATCTATGAGACAACATAGGAGAAAAATGAAAAGCTAAAAAAGAAACTCTGTAAGAAGCAACGAGTTACCCCTAAAACTTTTAATATGACTTTTAAGTAGATTCAATGTTGAAATAGTAGTAAACTATCAACTATGTAAAGAAAACAGGATGTATCAGACTTATACTCCCAACTGGCTTGCTTTTGCTCTCCTACAAGCTTATCATTCTTAGAATTACATTAATGCTTAAATGGGAAATCAAAGCCACTGTAGTATGACAGAGTACATTCCACAGCCAATGTGTGCTGCTTACTGTTGCTTTCCATCAAACAAAATATTGGTTATATCACTGTTAGAGAAGACCACTCCTTCCATATGGATGGATTTTAATCTAACACGTTTGGTTTCCAACTCTCCCATTCTCCTCCACAAGTAAACAAAGTTGTCTGCTTCTTAGATAAGGTTAACTTATGAAAGGTTCTGAGCATAGGGTATTTTCATTTCTTTACTTCCCTCAGAGACCAGGAAGGCAGCTACCTGGTATGTTTCAGCTCCACTAACTTTCCCTTTGTTGGATCTTTCAATGTAACACAGGTGATATAACTCTCTACCTGCCAACTGTCTTAAGAGCGACGTAACACCTTTTAGGATTATATGTCTGACTAGTAATATTATGACTGGTTACCTTCAAATTAGTTTCTTATAAACAGATGACAACTCACATTTTAAATGGATATTGTGATAATTACAGTAGGCTGGATGAAAATCATATTTTCCCAGGACTTAATCTTTATAAAACTAAGTCCAGGCTGGGCACCCACAGCCCAGTGGGTAGGGAGCTGGCCACATGCACCAAAGTTGGTGGGTTCGAACCCAGCCTGGGCCTGTTAAACAACAATAACAACTGCAAGAAAAAGAATAGCCAGGTGTTGTGGCGAGTGCCTGTAGTTCCAGCTACTTGGGAGGCTAATGCAAGAGAATCGCTTGAGACCAAGAGTTTGAAGTTGCTAGGATGCCACAGCATTTTACCAAGGGCAACATAGTGAGACTCTGTCTCAAAAAAACAACTAACTCCAAGACTTGGTGATATTTTGATATTCAATTTTGGTAATTTAGAGACAATTTTAACCATAAAATCTTCCTGCTACAAATGCTTGAGGTATTAGATAAGACATTATTTTAAATGTATGGATGAGTTCTCACACACACAAAAAATTCAACTCATCAGATGACAAAAAAGGAACTAAAAGGCCATCCTAAACTATAGTAGCTGTTAGAGCCGGGAGGCTAGTTGCTGGTATTGGTCTCCATAACCAGCTGGCTTACACGTTAAAACCCATAAGTAGGAAAGCAAGGTCTTCGGCCCATGTGAAACAGGAAGACAGAATTTATACTTTATGTCCCTCTCACCCTGAACAAACCTGGGACCCTTAAAAGGGCTGGTATCTTAAGCAAAAGGTGTGCCAGGAAAAAAACAAAAAAATACCTCAGTGGTGTTTTTATCTAAAAGAGGAAGGAAGCTTGGCTATCTTTGCCTAGGTTTGAAGTGGGGATAGAGAACTTTGGAGAATGTGGTCCCCCAGAGAATTTTTAACAATGGCCCTACACCTCAAATTTCTGCTACCCACATAAAGAACCCCAATTATATGAAATTTAAAAACT